GACCAAGGGAGGTGAGTGGTGGTACCCAGGGATGTTCGCAGGGGCTCCCCAGGGCCTGCTGGGGCCAGAGCCCTGGTAGGCTCACCACGGATCCAAGACTTCACTCTGGCAGGGCCCACAGCAGGACCGCCAGGTTCTGCCTGCCCCCTTAGAGGCCCGGAGAGGGGAAGGGACTCTCCGGAGACACAGAGTTCCTTACCTGGCCCTTGCTGAACAAGGATAGTGTTTTCTTTTAGCTGCCCACTGTGCCTCCATGAGGCTCTATTCCTGATTCCCCATGGGACCCTCTTTTAGGAAAATGGGAGGGAAGTAATCACCACTTCCCGATCCCCGGCTTCCCTGAGTCAAATGTTAAATCCATACATCCAGCAGATTGACCAAAAGGCTACGAACCCTTGAAAACATTATGCTAAGTGAAATACGCCAGACACAAAAGGACAGGACGTGTGTGATACGACTCCACTTATATGAGGTACTCAGAATGCGCAGATTTATAGACAGAATTAAAATAGAGGTTCTCAGGGCCCGGGCGAGGGGGAGTGAGTACAGAGTTTCAGTTTGGGAAGATGAGCAAGTTCTGGAAACGGATGGTGGTGATGGCTGATGTCATTGTAAGTGTACCTGGTACCGCTAGATAGTGCAAGTAAACATAGTCAAGATGGTAAATTTTATGTTATGTATATTTTACCACAATAAAAAACTTATTTCGAAAAAAGAAAAAGATGGTGATGCCAAGAAGGATTTTTCCAGTCACTCCCAATTTCTGACCCTGTTGTTTTTGTCTTCATTCCTCGGTTGAATTTATTTTGGGGGTTCTTTGCCACCGAGTTACTATTTCATTGTAAATGATAATGCACCGGTGAGATAAAAATGATTATATGTTAAGGAATAACTGTTATTGATAATTAAGTGTTTCATTGCATCTTTGCTTTCCCCAAATGGAATAAATAAATATTTTAGACGTAATCAGGTTTGTTTTCTCTATTTGGGCGAAACAGACAGAGATGTTGAAATGATATAGATCTTTAAAATACTGCAAATGAGTCTTGACATTGCTGAATTGTCATGCATCCTGGGTACCTGGGCTTGAAATCCAGGCTATCTCTTTTAATCAGGAAGATCATTTTCGTGAGACTCGCATTGTGAGTCCTGTGGGGTTAGGGAGAGGACCGGAGGGACCATTTCAGAGTCAGAATTTGAAATGACACTGAGTCCCAGCCCCGCCCCTCCAGTGTGGCAGTCTGCATTTTAATTCGTGTCTCCTAGCCCGGTTGCTCTCCATCCCGGAGTGGTGGCACTGGGTCGGGACATGGGGCAACAGCAAGTCCTGGATGGGATGGAGCCTGAGTTCACCTGTTGGTTTGCACAGTTGACCAGGAAGGAGCTGGGCTGCTGCAGAACAGCAGCTTCGGTAGCGGGGATCCCCATCCCCATGCAGACTTGCCCTGGCCTGGCCTCTGTTCCAGGATCCAGTGCCTGTGCTTTTAGCAACAAGGTGGCTTGAAACCAGGCTGTCCCCTGGCTGTGGAGCGGTGCCCTGCACTGGCACTGACTTCACGTTCCTTCGCCATAGCCAGGATGGGTTTTGCTCCTTCGTCCACTCTCTCCTGCCTTCGATCCAGACTGGCCCGGCTGGCCGGTCAGCAGGCCTAGCTGGGGAGGAAGTGTGTGGCCTGCCTGTGTGGGGGTGGCCAAAACCCGTAACCTCGCCGTGCTAGCTTCCTGTGGCTGCCATAACAAATTACTACAAAGTTGGTGGCTTAGAACAGTTCTGGAAGCCAGGGCTGTGCTCCCTCCAAAGGCTCTGTGGACAGTCTTCCCTTACCTCTTCCCGCTCCTGGTGGCTCCAGGTGTTCTTTGTTTCATGGCTGCCTCACTCCCTTCTCTGCCCACCTCTGTCTTCACATGGACACCTGTCATTGGATTTAGAGCCAACCTTAAATCCAGGATAATCTATTCTCAAGATCCTTAATTAAATTGCATTTGCAAAAGCCCTTATTTTCCCAAATAAGGTCACATTCAGAGATTCCAGGGGACAGGACATGGGACATGTATTTGGAAGGCTGCTACTCGACCTACCACTCTTGCCCTAATTAGCAACGAGGTCCCCTGAAAACAGGCCCATCCTGGATTGTTTTATTCACAAGGTCCCTGGGTTTGGGACCAGGGCAGAGCAGTGGCCACACACACACACACAAGGCCCAGCACAGGTGCCAGTGGTAAGTGCAGAAGGAAAGGCTGAGTCAGTCTTGAGTGACTCAAGTGGACAGAAGATGCTGAGACACAGGAGGAGCAGAAGTGGCCCAGCACTCAGTACATGTCGGGGGGCCCCGTGTCATCCCGGCCCCAGCCCTGCCCTGGTGCGGGCACTCTGGCTGGAAGCCATGCTAGCTGACAGTTCCGCGTCCTGTGTGGTGCCACTGCTTCCTCCCCTGGGGACCTCTGGAAGGGTGCTGGGTCTTAATCCCCACCTCGTGGGGCCAGTTAGGATCTGAGCTCTAGGAGATTGGACAGGGGAAGGGGATTGGCCAAAAAAATGCAGGTCCCTGGCTATGTGTTCCAGGGGGTCCCTGCTGGGGTGGAAGGTTTAACCTAATGTTCTTAAAGCTCCTCCCCACCGAGTTCCTGAAACATACCCCAGTAGGGTGAACTGAACATGCTTGAGAAACTGGAAGTGCCCGAAGGAGGGCATGGGGTGTAAACACCCCGAAGCCCAAAGAGAAGTGGCTTGGGGGCTGTTCCTGGATGGGGCTCACATCCAGCTCTGCAGTGACCAAGGCCAAGGAGAAGGAGCCACCCAAAGAGAGGGGATCGGACAGTGTGTAGCTATCTCTTTAGGGACCTGGTTTGGGGGGAGGGTGTAAACCTGCTAAAAGTTTCTCGTTGGGCCTCCTTTCTGACAACATATCATCACGTCTCATGCCTGCTTTGGGCCTCAGGGACAACTGAGGACCCAGCTTTTACCAGTGACACTGGGAGAAACGTCATCTTTGATCCCCTACAGCGCACCCTCGTGCCCCCTTTATGACGTGGCTTACGTTGCCTGTGTGTCCGTAACAGGCTGAGCTGCGCATACCGCGAGTGCTGGCCTGGTGTCTGGGTGTGGTAGCAAGTGTCATATAATGAAGATCATGACTGCCTTGGGGGTGGGAGGTCCCAGCCCTCTGCTTTACTGGAACCTGTTCCAGAGCAGGGAGTGGCTTTCTCATTCTCTTCCCAAAGAGTCTTCTAGAGTAGACCCTGCAGGAGCTATGATCTAGGAGCTCTGTGTGTCAGCTCCCTGTTCCCTGGTGACTCTCAGAAGATGATGGTGTCAGAGGTGGAGGTATGAGAGCCAGAGGGACCTGAGAAACTCCCTCTCCACCTTGGTTTGCGGGGACCCAGGTAGACGCAGAGCTTGAAAAGGAAGCATCTATGTTTTACTCCTTGACAGGAAACACTAATTATCAAAATACAGAAACAGCCATTCGGTTTTTGTCTTCCCATTTGGTGCATCTGGCTTAGTGTTCAGCCAAGGTCGTACCTCGTACCTTTGGGGAGGAGAGCGTCATAGTTGGGGCTGCTATAGCAAAGGACTATGGTGTGTAGAAACAACAGAATTTTATTTCTCACAGTTTTGGAGGCTCGAAGTCGGAGATCAGGGTGCCAGCCTGATCAGTTCTGGGGAGGCTCACCTGCTGGTTTATAGGCAGCCTCCTTCTTGTGTCCTCACTGGCAGGGAGAGGAAAGGCAAGCTCTGCAGTGCCTTCTGTAAGGGCACCAGTCCCATTCATGAAGGCGCCATCCTCATGACCTCATCGCCCCCAAACGCTCCACCTCCTAATACCATCACATCCGGGAGTTGGGATTCCAAGCTGTGAATCTGGGGGAGGGGGGGACACAAACATTCAGACCATAGCAGAGAGCCTTGTGACCCAAGGTGTGGGACCCAGCGTCCGGTCACACCACCTGGATCTGCAGGTGCAAACGCTGAGGCTCAGAAAGGGGAAGGGGCTCCCCAGGGTCAAACATAAAGTAGATTCAAGTCGGAACTGGAACCCAGGTCTCCCGTCTCCCCGTCGGAGCGTGCACACCCACTCCCTGTGCTCCCTGGCCACGTCCGCGCCGGCACGGCAGCTGCCTGCCTTCCACCCGAGCTGGGTGCCGCCCCGCGTGGGGCCGTGTGCAGAGCAGGACTGGCCCAGTGGGGTCACAGATGGGGCCGCATGCTGGAAGCACTGTCGGGGGCGGGAGGAGAAGAAAGGAAGGGGCAGGAGGGTGGGGAGAGGAACTCAGGATGCTGAGCAGCGGTCGGTCGCCTGCCAAAATCCTTCAGTGCGGCTCGTCTGGCAAAGCCAGTCTCCAGCCGAGTAAATACAGTGGATGGCTGACGGGCTGACAGCAGGCATCAAACAGTCTTAAACTGCCCTGAATCCGCAGCGCTTTTGAAGCAGCAGTAGAAAAAGGATGCCTGCGCAGAACAGAGGCCTGGAACTTTTTAATAGTTTCTTCCAGGCCTCAGGATGTCCTGATGAGGTATTAGAGGAAGTAATTCAGGAAGAAAAGGACAAATAACCGCCTCCGTCTGGAGGCCGACCCGAGGGCTGGCCGCTGCTGCTCGCGGAAAGGGCGAGCGTGGCCCCGCGGTGATCGGGAGGCTGCGGCGAGCCCGCCCGCCCGCCCCGGCGCCGAGAGCCACGCGGCGCTGACCCTCGTCAATCCCAGACGAGTAAATTTCGTGTTTGCTTCGGGGCACATGTAAAGCACACAGTGCCCGCCGCATGAGGGTGAAATCATTAACTCTTCCTCGCTGTTGGAAGGGTGCTCGGGACGGATTAGCCATCGCTGCCGAGGCCCCGAGGCCCTCCCAGGGGGATGTCCGCCCACCTCCCCCCAGACAGGAGCCTGTCAGGACCTCCACCCCCCACCCCCGGGGACGTCAGGGGGAGCGAAGCCGTGGAGGCCTGCCAGAACCGAACTCACCCCCCCTCTCTGTTTTCTCTTTTCCATTTTTCCTTTAGGGTTTGGCTTTGTCACTTTTGAGAATGAAGATGTTGTGGAGAAAGTCTGTGAGATTCATTTCCATGAAATCAATAATAAAATGGTAAGTGTGTAGGGCTGCGCTGACACGGGACGGGACGCCCCCTCCCTGTATGGATACACCCCTGCCCTGCAGGCTGCGCCAGCCCCACCTCCGTGCGAGTGGGCAGGGGTGGCCTGGGGACCGGCTGTCAGGGCTCTGCCCCGTGAACAGGGAGGGGCAGTTCCTAGGATAGGAGTTCATAAACTCTTTCTCCGACGGGCCAAGTAGGAATGTTTTCCGCTTTGCGGGCCACACAACTGACTGCAGCTACTCCGTTCTGCTGTTGTGTCTCGCAGAGGCGTCCCCACGCAGTGCCCACGTGAGTGAGTGGGGCCGTGCTGCAGTACAGCTTTGTTTGTGGACACTAAAATGTGGATTTCATATCATTTTCACGTGTCACAAAATATTATTAATTTTTTTAACCCTTTAAAAATGTGAAAAACATTCTTAACTCTTTGGACTTTACAGAAACAGGCAGAGGGGCAGAGTTGGCAAATGGGTTGTAATTTGCCAACCCCTGGTTTAGGATGTGCTTTTGCTGATTGGCTTTTGGGGGGGGGGTATGTCCTAGATGTGAAGTTGACCCCACCAAACTATTTATCTCTTTGGGCCCTGCTGGGTAATTAACATCCCTCTTGCCCTCCCCACTCCCCTCCCCAGCTTGCGATCAGTTCATTTCTGCCGTTGTAACCAGCTGCCTTCTGCCCTCCTTTTTGGTTCTTCAAAGTTCTTTTCCACCACTGCATCCTCAGAGGAAGGGAGGTTGGGTTATGGGAGGTGTGGGAGCCAGGTAGGCCTCCCAGAGAAATGGCCACCAGAGGGTGCCAGACCGTGCACATCCTGCAAGTCTCAGACTCCTTCAAGTTGAGTAGGGAAGGTGAGAAACCCATTCTTTGTTGGTTCTAGAAAAATGGGAGCACAGCAGGTGCTTCTGGAGCCGTCAGCAGGTTCTTCGGAGCAAAAACATTTTGGTTGGCCAGCGAAGCCTCCAGCCCCAAGAGAAGAGGGAGGGCAAATTTGTGTTTCAGCTGTAGCCGTAACTTTGATATTTTCTTCCTTTTGTCAAAACATTCTTGGCTTCTGAAACATGCATTCAGATATGCACAGTATATTGGTCTGATATGTGTTCACCAACTTTAAATTCAATAATAGAGCTTTTAGTGTGGATAAGATCAAAGCAATCTGCTTAGCATGTGGTGCTACAGGCCTGATTCAATATTTGACTTGCTAATTTTTTCCCAGGGCACTAAAATAATATTGTTCATATTGTTCCTAGCCATCATATGCATCTGAAATGAAAATGCTCCTTCTTTGCATGCTGTATATTGGAGGCATCAGCTAAGGCATTAAAATGGTCCCGGGGAGATGAGTATGTAGGAATAACACAGCGCCCCTTTAGGCTTTCTCTGCCCCCCTAGATGTTGGTGCCTTCCAGTTGGTACTTCTCTCTCTCGGTAGGTTACTAGTTGCCATTTTTAAAACTAGAGAGACAGAGGACTTAAATGAAACCTGGGTCGGGTGCCCGGATGCCTTGTTTATCCTCGCCAGAGCATGCCATTGACAGACTCCTGAAGGCTGCTGGCAGCCAGGAACAGAAGAGGCAGCAGAAAGTGCTGGCAGGCGCCAGCCCTGTCCTGCCAGGACTTAACGGTTCATCAGGAAAGGCCCGATGTAGACCGGCAAGAGACCGCTCGCTCCACATGCCACCTCGAATGCATACGTGTAGCACTTTACTACTGACAGGCTTAGAAACAACCATGAGACACAGGTGCGGAAGGGCTTCAGCCTACTCACCATTCCAGTGGGGAAACTGAGGCCCAGGGGATAGGCCCCAGGGCTACCCAGATTGTGAGGAGCATAAATCTTGAGCTTACTGGTGCCAGATGACCTATATAGATGTTGTTTGAGGGTGTGGGAGGGTGAATGCCCAGATGATCCAGGGGGCAATCAGAGGTAGAATTTCGGACACAGAAAGAAAATGCATGGGCTGACTTGACAACGGAGAGATTTGCAACCGTGTCCCCGGTTGTCTCACCTTTATCACCTCCTCCACCTAGGCTAGAGGTTGACCATATTGGGTTCAGGTAACTGGGTTTGTAGTGAAAGGGTTTCTGTTTTCTTTTGAATCTGGGGCTAGTACTTGTTCTTTAAGAGAATAGCAAGAATGGAAGTAGACAAGGAAGAAAAAGAAGTGGGAGTGGAGTAGTTAGGATCTCAGGCTTTGGAAATGTCGGTCCAGGTTCCCAGCTCAGCCCCAGCAGTTGTGAGCTCCAAGGGGAGGAATTTAGAGGCACTGGGAGAGGACTTTGAAGTAGGTCACTCGGCCTTGCTGAGCTCCGGTAAGACAGGGCTGGCCATGGTAGCCCCTCACAGGGTTGTTGGAGATCGGGTGAGACGCTGGGACAGAGGGCTCAGTGTGGTGCCGGCCGTGGGGCACAGATGGTCTTGATGAACGTGAGCTCTTGCCATCATCTGTGTCGTCAGGGTCATCGTTGTTGAAAGATCCTCCCCAGCCAGCTCCTCTCCTCTGGAGAAGGATGGAATTTAAAGGGTGTTGGTAGAGGAGCCTGAATCCTGAATTGCTTTGGATTCTGTAGTGCTGGTTTCTACTTCTGAGGCCCAAAGAAAAGGAAATGAATTTAAACTGTGCTATGAATAGAATTCAAATGAGAGATCCAGAAAGACTCTGAAAACTCAGAGACTGCCAAGCAGGAACACACGCGGTTGTTAGAATGCACATAGGAGTGTTTTGTAAACTGAACTGTGCTGCGAAACTACAGGCCGATCTCCCTGAACCCCAGCAATCTCCTGGGATTTGGCAGGAACCGGCAGATAGCTGTGGTGCCCCTGCACATGCTGGAGCCACAACTCTGTCATATTTGCAGATAAGAAAGGTCTCACCGCCGATTAGTCACACAGATAGGACTTGAATCCAGGTCTCCTGATTTAACCCTGTGTGCCTGGCACTTGGTAGCACCTAGATAAATAATTGTGGACTGAATAAAGGGCTTGCTGAGGGACCATGTGACTGTGAGGCACATCATAGTTCCCAAAGCCATTTCCCAGCTAATTTGGTTGGTGAGACTCTTGGGCACTTTAAAAATGAGGGTTCTTGTCTAACATGCAGGAGAGCCAGCTACAGGCATGAGTGCTTCCGCCTGCAGGGTCCGGGATAGCTGCCTCTTCTGGAACCAGGGATCACGGCCCCTCGCCCCCACTCCCTATTACAGGCCCTGACTTAAGGAGGTGCTCTCCAGGGTGGTGGCAGGGGGAGTGACACCCTCTCACACAGAGATCCCCCCAAAGCTGACATCTTTGGGTACAAACTACATACTCTGCTCACCACGGAATGCATCTTATCTCATTTGATTTTCACTTATACTTTGATGTAGCTGCTAATCATTAGCCCCATTTTACAGACAGGCAAGGAAGGCGAGGCAGAGAGAGGTTAAGCAAGTTGCCCAAGGTCAAACAGCAAGTGGCAGCCCCAGAATGCAGGCCCAGAAAGCTATACTGCAGAGCTCAAGTTTGTACTCACTAGGCTGTACTTCTTTGGTTCTAAAGGGACTTTGAAGGTCATCTAGCGGGGCTACCGGCCTTCCAGGGCCACTGACCGCCCCTTCCCAGTCAGCCATGTGGTGGTTCCGTGTTCTCCTAAGAGAAGGGCAGATTCCCAGCTAGGGAGAAGGGCCAGGTTTGGGTTCAAGGGGTCCCATTTGACCACGGATCTCCAGCCTGTTGCTTCTGTCAGTGAGAGGCCGTAAGCAATGGGCCAGGAACCGACTCCCACTCAGGCTCAGGGCCACACCCACTCGAGCTCCAGGCCACAGGGAAATGCAGATGTGCCCTTTATCGGTGGACACACACGGATGCACGCACAGAGCCACCCTCGACCCTCCGGAGAGGGCTCCGCTCTGGCCACTCTGCGAGCCCCAGCGTGGGCACGGCTAATAACTCCCTCCCGCGGCGAGCCCCTGATTGAAGCAGCCCCCAAGCCGCAGGGACACTTGCTTGATTAGTCGCCAGAGCCCGGCCTGCACGCGGCCTCCTGAGGCGCCAGGCAGCTGCAGGAAGGGAGGTGGGAATTGACAGCGCGCCAGCTTCCCTCCGGTTTCCTCGGGGCCGGCGCAGCCCTCACCTCAAATGGTGTCGGGGAGGTGGCACCGCGCTTGTTGGGTGAGAGCTGGGGGCACAGTTGAAGGGCGCCTGGGACGGGCACTTCGGGGAGGGCCTTTTCTCACACCTGATTCAGCAGAAGGGAATCGGTGCTCACGGACGCCGTGTACGAATGCGCCATCTCCCTTTGTCGTCGTGGCGCCCTGAGTCGGGGTCCTGAGCCCATACAGGATGGGTCACTAGAGCTTAGAGCCCCGAAAGGACTTCCATGGTGGGAGAGGTGTAAGGGGTAGAGCCGGGATTCAAACCTGTGTCGTTCTGGCTCCAAAACCCTGTGTTGTTCTCACCACATCCTGCTGCCCATCTAGGCAAACCTAATATCTGAAAAGTCTGGATTTATGTGACTGCTGAATACAAGGAAGAGTTTTAATTTGCTTTAGACAAGGACTATATTGTAGGATTCTTTTAAATAGTCCTTTAAGGAACAAGAAACTTTGCTAAGCAACTCGTGGGTACAGCTAGTTTGGTTGTCCATCGTCTTGGAACGAAAGGAGGCCTGGGCCCTGGTCATCGACGGGTGGTGCATGTGCCAGCAGCCCTGGCAGCCTCGGGGAGGGGGTTAGGAACGCAGAGTCTCAGGTCCCACGCCAGAACTTCCGGACAGACTCTGCGTGTTGACAGATCCCTAGGACCTGCGTGTCCCTTAAAGTCCGAGAAGCACCAGGCGAACGTCACTGCTAATAGATACAGCGGGAGTTGTGGGTCATAAATCCTTCCTCCAGCGTGAGCGGGAAGGAACCCAGGGGTGGAGCCGGACCTGGCACTGGGTCCCCAGACCAGTCTGTGGTCCCAGCACCACGCCACCTCTCTTTATGGTCAGACGGAGGCCAGATCTCCTAGAGGAG